CCCCTCAAATTGCAAAACCAAGAAATCCATGATGTATCATCTCCGTCTGAGCCACTGACATCCGACTCTTCGCTGTCTGTTTCAGATTCCTCTGCTATGATCGGAAACTTGTTAGATACAACAAACTCTACAAGAAATAAAAAGGTGACGAAGAAGAAGATAAACAATCGCAATTAAGATCTCCCGACAAAATAATGTTGCCATAAAAGCCAAGCACCACTCAATCATCGGATAACACACTAATAACAAAAGTAAAAAATAAGAACGTTCATTACGCAAAAATGCATTTCCAGTTCAGTTCATTTTTATGTACAGTTTCCAAAACACGAAACGGAGACATTGAATGCTCCAGATCCTCTTTATAAAAAAAAAATAAAAAAATAAAAAATCGAAACTGAGGAGGAACAAAACCAACACTAACCATCAGAGCATTTATTCTTGGGTAGAGACACGGAACGATGATCGAGCTGTGATTTACCAGCCGAAGTGGAGGGTACAGAGAGCCTCTCCTTCTCCTTACTATGAAGACCTCTAGAAGTAGACGGAGAAGTCTTCTCCAGATGCTTATCAAGAGCATCGTTGATACGCTTCCGATCGATCTCCGATTTCGACGAACCACCAATCCCCCCTCCGCCTCCTCGATCCCTATACATATTTTCAACGAATCACAGCTCGTAAATTCAAATTCAAATTCAAATTCAAATTCAACCAACTGATGGAGGGACCCCACCCTCCCAAGAAGAAGGTGAGATTAGGGCTTTTCAGAAGAGAAAATCAGATGAATTCATATGCATGAGCGAACAGCAAAGTGAAAAATGGAGGAAAAGGGGGGAAGAACAGTAGGGTTTGATGAAGAACAATGGAAGGAGAGGTTTCTAGGGTTTGAAGAAGTGGAAGAGACCAGTGCTCTTTCGCTTCTCTTTCTCTCTCTGAAACGAAACGAAAAACAAAGAGCTTAGTAAAGGATTGCTCAGGCGGAAAGTTAATTGTATTATTGATTTTTTTTAATTAAAAAATATATTATTATTTCCTTTTTTTTTTAATTTTAAAATGACCGAGGAATAAAGTTTTAATTTAAATATTTCTTTTTAAAAAATTAGGTCACAAGTTTGGTCGGTAGTGTTGTATTTATCCAGATTTAAAATATTTATTCTTTAAAAAAAATATTTTTTTCCTTGAAATAAATCATAGATATTCACAAACAAAACCATTTATTAATTTATTTTTATATTATTTTGTAAACTATGTCACGTATTTATTTCAATTTTCATATTAACCGTCACATCAACATCCACCCAATTTATAAATAAATCTCTTTAAAATAATATTTTCGAATTAATTTCAAATTTTGAGCGTAAAACTAAAAATGTTCAAATTCTAAGAGCATAATTGAATTTTCAAATAAATGTTTAAAATCTTTTTAAAATAAATATTTAAAATACCTCACAATTGTTTAAAAAAATTTAAAATTTCAAAAAAAATATCATAAAACTTTCAAATAGTTTAAATTTTTAAAGTTTCATCGACCACATTTAAAAAAAAACTTCAAAAAAAATAAAAAAAACACCTAAATTTTTTTAAAAAATTAAAATTACTTCTATCATATCAGGTTTAAAAAATATCCATAAACTTTTTAAAATAATATTCAAAAGTTTAAAGATAATATATGAGGGGTAGATGAATAGATTTTCGTCTATATTATTGACGATAATAAATTTTTTTAACTTTTTTTATATGGTAAAGAGTGTTAATTTCTTTTTTTTTTTTTAGTTTCTGGATATATTTTTAAAATGATTAAGTTATTAGTAAAAATTTTGAGAATATTCTTTAAAAATTATTAAAAATTCAAAAGTACGTTTGAAACCAAAAAAAAAAAAAAAATCTACAGATTTTTCATCCAAAACTACGCAATAATATTTTTTAAATGAAGCTAAGTAAACAATGAATCAGGAAAGGCTAAGATCAAGCTACGTTAACAACGAATCAGGAAAGGCTAAGATCAAGCTACGTTAACAACGAATCAGGGGCCGGCGATCCTCCACCTTCTTCCCTCCCCGAAAACCTCTCTGAAATCAAGAGCATCAGAGCTCTAACTTCACAGGCAGAGAACAAAGAAGACGATTCGATTATGCACGGTTGGATATCGAATCTCTTCCCGCATTTGGAGCTGTGACGGAATCGAGCAGAATCGATTTCGCAATTTGCATTTTGAATTTTCACTCAGTTTTTTCGAATTTATTGGTTAGGGCTAGTTGATTGATTGATTGATTGATGAATTTGGAGATTTGAGGGCGAACTTGGTGCATTCGAGAGGGACGATTCGATTACGCACGGTTGGCTATCGAATTTCTTCCCGCATTTGGAGCTGTAGTAGAATCGATACGGTAATTGAGCGAAATCTATTTCGCATTTCGAATTTTGATAAGTTTTTTCGAATTCGTTGGTTAGGGCTAGTAGATTGATCGATGAATTTGGAGATTTTAGGGCGAACTTGGTGCATTCGAGCGGGACAATTCGATTACGCACGGTTGGCTATCGAATTTCTTCCCGCATTTGGAGCTGTAGTAGAATCGATACGGTAATCGAGCGAAATCTATTTCGCATTTCGAATTTTGATAAGTTTTTTCGAATTCATTGGTTAGGGCTAGTAGATTGATCGATGAATTTGGAGATTTTAGGGCGAACTTGGTGCATTCGAGCGGAACAATTCGATTACGCACGGTTGGCTATCGAATTTCTTCCCGCATTTGGAGCTGTAGCAGAATCAATACGGTAATCGAGCGAAATCTATTTCGCATTTCGAATTTCGATTCTGTTTTTTTCGAGTTCATTGGTTAGGGCTAGCGGGACGATTCAGATTCTGTCCATTCCAGAGATTGAAACGGCGAAGGAAATTAGTCTTTCAACGTCGTTGAGTATGGGGAAGCTCACTTGTCGAAGGATTGTGGGCCGTTATTGGGCCTCAGCATTTTGGGCTCAAGTGGCCCAATTTTGAGTAAAGATCATTGCTCCTCAACTCTCAACCCTACCTAAGGTAAAATATTAATCATGTTTAAAAGATATTTTTTAAATTATTTTTTTTATAAAGAATTTAAAAAATGTTCTTAGTAATATGTTTAATAAATATACACAACTTTTACATTTATAAAAAATTAAAAAAAATTCTTAGGTGAAAATCGTCAATTTCTCATCGACTCTATCGGCTGTCTTTAAACTTTTTAATATTATTTTTATAATATGAAAAATGATTTTATAATATGAGATGCTATATTTATTAAAGCTTTTATTTAAAAAATTATATTAACAGTTTTCATAATTTCATCTATTTTAGACAAATGAATTAAAAAATAGTTTAATTTATGGATTAATATATAAACATAAAATAAAGTTTCTATTCCTTTTATATTTTTCTCTTTCATTTTTTTCTGCTTTACAACTATATAGCCAGATAATTAGATAAATAAATAATTATTTAGATTTTTTCCAACCTTTTAATATATCAATAAATTAACAAAGAAAAATAATAGAGATATTAATAAGACATAATTGCACTGTTCTTGCTTCGCCCTGCCTTTGCTTTGGAGAAATGTAATTATTGGACTCATAATAGACTAAAAGTCTTCAATTTATTTATTAAAATTAATATACATTTTTAAATTAAATTATAAAATTCGTCACCCTCTTTCTGTAGGATTCTAAATGGGTCTGATCTATATGATTTGATAAAATTCTCATATTTATAATGTTTTATTAGATATGAAATTCTATTTTTTATTCAAATTATAGGGATAAAAGTTGTAAATTAACGTAATTTTTTAAAAAATAGATAGAAAAATCTCTCACTGGCACCTTGATGTCGGCTGTTCGCCACCTGGGGCTGTAGTATGTTCCAAGGGTTCGGCTGTTCGCCCATTAAAGCGGTACGTGACTGGGTTCAGAACGTCGTGAGACAATTCGGTCCATATCCGGTGTGGGCGTTAGAGCATTGAGAGGACCTTTCCCTAGTACGAGAGGATCGGGAAGGACGCACCTTTGGTGTACCAGTTATCGTGCCCACGGTAAACACTGGGTAGCCAAGTGCGGAGCGGATAACTGTTGAAAGCATCTAAGTAGTAAGCGCACCCCAAGATGAGTGCTCTCCTATTTCGACTTCCCCAGAGCCTCTGGTAGCACAGCCGAGACAGCGATGGATTCTCTGCCCATGCGGGATGGAGCGACAAGACAGCGATGGGTTCTCTGCCCCTGCGGGGATGGAGCGACAGAAGTTTTGAGAATTCAAGAGAAGGTCACGGCGAGATGAGCCGTTTATCATCACGATAGGTGTCAAGTGGAAGTGCAGTGATGTATGCACGGTTTATCATTAGGTGGCAAGTGGAAGTACAGTGATTTATGCAGCTGACGCATCCTAACAGACCGTTTTATTTATTTAATTTTCATTTTTTAAAAAAAACTTGAACTATATCTTTTGGATTTTGAATTATGCTTTATGGGAAGAAATTTTATTTAACAAAATTTAGATAATATGACAATATTTCATAAAATAAGTAAGAAATTTTGAAAGGTATGTAAATTTGAAGATATACCAATTATTTTGGAATATGCTTTTTATAATTTTGAATTATTGGGGATATATTTTAAAATAATATTAAAATTTTTACTGTTTAAAAAATAAATTAGTGTTTAATTTCATAAAATTGATTTTAGATAATTAAAAATGTATTTTTGTAGTGATTTTAAATAAGATAAAGTGATTTTAATAACCTTCCTTAAAAAAAATAAAAATAAAATGGTTTGGAAAAAGTATATTAAATTATCTTTAAAAATTAAAAATTAAAAAATAAAATTTTTAAGGAAAGAAATTGAAATTTACAGTTCCGTTAAATGCATCAACGAAACCAGTTGTGAGAGCTTCCATACTTTTCGCATTATGACGTGGCGTTTTGTTATTTGTCGGTCATGAAACTCCCTGTAGGCCTCGGTGACTAAAGCTTTTCCAACCTTCTCCCACTTTCGTCCACAGAGTGTCCCCCTTTCAGAGAGGCAACGGCAAACTCGAGGAGAAAATGTTTACGAATAATTAAATCGGAAAAGGGAAAGAATGGAGGAAACTGAGATCGGAACCCTAGCAATCGAAGCGAGAGGTTGAGGACAATAGCAATCGATCAGTTTCATCTCAATTTGTTGCAGTAATTTTGTTTTGAATTCGTTCGCAACATCAAAAATGGTGAAGAAACGTGTGCCGGATTGGCTGAATAGCTCTCTCTGGTCCTCCACTCCTTCCGTTGACGACGATCGCCTCCACCGCTACAATTCTGAGCCGGCCGCCACCACGTCGTCGCCGGAACCTTTTGTCGAACCTCCGGTTCCGATTCCTCCTCCGTCTGTGAGCACTGCCATTAGAACCGAGTCTCCCAAGTCTGATACTAGAGAATCCAGGGCTAATAACAATGTCAGCAACGACGATAATGGCACTCCCTCAGGTCCTTCTGCTGAGGACGTATCTCGCCAGGCGCAGCTTCTTGTTGAGGTTTGCCTTTTCGTTCGATGATCTGCATGAATTGTATTGTTTATTTTTCTTATTCCTTTTAGTTGTTGATTGTTTCATATCTTTTGGATGCAGTTGTCGAAGAAGGTCATAAATCTGCGTGAATTGCGTAAAATTGCGTCTCAGGGCATACCGGATGGTGCAGGAATTCGTTCAACCGTCTGGAAGGCATGTATTTTGTAGTTTTTATTGTGCGTCAAAATTATCTGTTGAAGCAAATTTAGCTAGATTTGTCGTGAAGAGTCCAAAATAAATTATGAATGGTTCATTTGATTGATCACAGCTCCTATTGGGTTATCTGCCACCAGATCGTGGATTCTGGCCTTCTGAGTTAGCTAAAAAGAGGTCTCAATACAAGCATTTTAAAGAAGAGCTTTTGATGAATCCTGTAAGTCATATTGTGGAACTTTCACCCTCCATTTTGGTCTCTAACATTTTGTAGAAAGATTCATCTAATTGTCTGTGGCTTAGCCGCTCCTCTATTGTCCTTTCCATTTTACAGTACACCCGGCAAGGGGTAAAATATATCTAATGGAGCTGATAGCTTAGCTTTGTGAACTGAAAATTCTTGTTTACAAATTGGAAATTAATAGGAGAGAATTGCAAACATTTTTCTTCTTTCCCATTTTCCTAGATAGCATTTGTTCTTGCCGAAAATTGGATTTTTTAAGACAATGAGGTATTTTGTGGACCTCTTCTCCATTTGTTTACTTTATTATGGATAGTCACCAATTTAGAAAGTAGTTTCATTCTATATATTAGCATACAACATGATAGTATATCTCTATCCCTTCTATGCAATAATTTTAATACAGACAATATCAGTTGTTTTATACCTAATATCAGTATATTATTCTCTATATTTGTTCCCATATAGTAAACAAAGTAAAAGAGGATACGCTGCAATTTGTATTACCTGTTTGTATGTACGAACATGGTTTTCTTAATGTTTTTGTGGCTAGTCAGTCAGAAATTTCCAGGAGGTTGGAGAAGGCCAAAAGCTACGAGCATGATGAAACAAACAAAGGTCAGCTCTCAAGGTCAGAAATAAGTCAAGAGGAGCATCCTTTAAGTCTTGGGAAAACCAGCATCTGGAACCAGTACTTCCAGGTATCCTTTATTACTAAACTCGTGTATAAAATGTTTATCCCCTTATCTAATCTTATGAAATCTGTTGTAATAAATATACCCACAGAAAAAGTATTTATATAAAAATTATTGGGCCGCTCTTTATTGAACTCTTAATCTAAATAATTCTGTGAACTTTAATTATTTGTTAAACCGAATCCTTTAACTTAGGATGAAATTTTCATTGAACAGTATGATGAACTTTGGACTAAAGTAGTTATGTTGATTTCAATCCTAAATTAAAGAATTAAACATTTTCTTATACTTTATGAATTCTTAGGAGGATGGAATGACTTTTGCTGATTTTAGAATAACCATGCCATTCATAAATTCTTAATTTTCTAGTTGAACTTGAACATTTCAGTTATGTGATCATCCTCTATGAGTTCTCTTCTAGGGATTGCTTGATGAGAAATAGTCAACCTTATGCATGGGTCAACCGTTTATGGAACTGAACCCTTATAAGTATACATGGAATTGGAATGGGAAATCAAAAGACCAGAAAACTCAATTTTAAAAGAGATGTTTTCGTGATAAAGACATTACAGCACTTGAATACTTGGTTTTCTGAGAAACTGATAGATTGATATTCATTTGAAACCAACTTGCTTGAAGAGGATTTGTTCTACAGGTTGTGCACTCCGTACTTGAATCCTAAGGAGATTCGTTTGAAAATTACCCCCTCTTAAGTTATGCAATGACCTCCTTTTTCAGAACCTTGACTTTGATAGAAATTGACAAATATCTTCTTTTTATGGAAAAATATGCTAATTTTTTGTTTTTCCGAGATTGTGTCCTTACTAGATTTTTTATATTTACTTCAACAGTGGATCAGTCATATCCTGTCTCTGTGTTTCATGTCTTTTCTGTTTGCACTGTTTTACAGTTATATAACGGTATGATCATGTACTATAACATCATTCTAGTTGTCTTATTTATCACCTACCTGATAGGACTCTGAGATTATAGAACAGATTGACCGAGATGTGAAGCGTACTCATCCAGATATGCACTTCTTCTCTGGGGACTCATCACTTGCAAAATCTAACCAGGTTAGTCTTTAATTATTGCATAAATAATTGACATGGGTAATATGAGCTTTATAGAGGTTTGGACGTTTATCTTATGCTAATAATGTTTTGTACTTTCAGGAGGCTCTGAGAAACATCTTAATTGTGTTTGCGAAGTTGAATCCTGGAATTAGATATGTTCAAGGGATGAATGAACTTTTAGCTCCTCTATTCTATGTATTTAGAAGTGATCCAGATGAGGATAATGCGGTAATTTTTCTTTACATCTCCCATCCCCCTGATGGTTATTTGGATATAGGTCATGCTAGCTCTGTATTGTTGCAAAAAAGCACCTAAATAAGTTGGTCGTTTTGCCTAATGCCTATATGGACACATTTTGATAAAATGGAAATCTGGTTTGGTAGAGTTAAATGGATTGTTCATTTATTTTTCACTTTGAACCATTAGACAAACTTTTTCTAGCTATGGTAGTTTATGCGTGCATCCTATGAGATGAATTGTTTAAGTTAAGTTTTATTTTTAAAAAATTTGTTTAAGTTCATTTCAATTGTGAATATCTTTAGTGGATGATATTCCATAGAGGAACCAGTACCTCTCCTTTGTCATCATTTGCATGTATCACAGAAAAAAGGTCTTTAGAGAAAACGTTCTTTCTTTAAATGGATTTTTTTCCCTTAATGATCATGTGTTGTCTGGTTATCAGAAGTAAAATGACATTTTTGTTGAAAGATAAAGAAGATTCAATTCGGTCACACCACGAAGTTGACTTTTACTGTTAACTCGGTTACACCCAAATTAGCGTCAACCATGAACAAATCTATTTCTGACCATACAAACTTTTTGTTACGTTTTTTCATAATTGACTTTTACTGTTAAATTTTCAGGCATCTGCTGAAGCAGACACGTTCTTTTGTTTTGTTGAGTTGTTGAGTGGATTTAGGGATCATTTCTGCCAGCAATTAGATAATAGTGTTGTGGGAATCCGCTCCACAATCTCAAAGTTATCTGAACTTCTGAAGGAGCATGATGAAGAGCTCTGGCGTCACCTTGAGATAACAACCAAAGTAGGGTTTAATTTTATTTAATTTCTTAGCTGTTTTGATGATTAATCCTATAGGAGTTGTGCAATCTAATTTGAAATGATAAAACTTAAAGCACTTAGGTTTTCATGATAATTTTGAAATTGTAAAGGCAAAGTTTTCTGATCAGTCTCTTCAGCTTTGAAATATTCTTTTGGTTCTTGATTGTGGATCATTAGAGTCCTTATATTTCTCTTTTAAAAGAACAATGGTTCGTATGGCCATTCACTCATTTTCTCTTTACCGTTCCCAATATTTACCACCACCTCTTTTAAATTCCTTTATTACTTCATTGGAGACTGTTTCTTCTCAAAAGAAAATAATGTTGTGGTCTCTACATTTTCTATGTGAAACCACATCTTTTGAACATTTTGATTGAAAAGATTTCTTGTGTCTGCTAAGACATCAGCCTCAGAGTGATCTGTGAAAATCTTCTAAAATCTTTAAAGAAATAATATCTACGTGCTGAAGCAAACCGACTCCTCATATTGCCCAATTTTTGCCTATTTATACTTATGTATTTGTTTTTGAAGGAAGGATTGGAACAGAAGATCTATTTAACTACTTATTATCTTTTACACTTGTAAGTCTTTGTTTTTTAGAATATTATGTCGAGTACGGTGGAGGAGGCTTGAACTTATGACCCTAACCGTTTGAGTTAGGCTTCGGTTTGGCACAAATTTCTCATCCTTGCTTTATATGAGTTTAACCTATAATTTAAGCTCATTTTATCTTGCACAACTATTTTTGTAGATTCCAGTTTTCATATCTTAATATCTACATATGTTATGAAATGAAGTTTGTTATTTGTTTCTCAACAATATATTTATTTGTTGTATTCTTCTGTTTTGTTGAATGACAGGTAAACCCCCAGTTTTATGCATTTAGGTGGATCACTCTCCTCTTGACCCAAGAGTTCAATTTTGCAGACAGCCTCCACATTTGGGATACAATTTTGAGTGATCCTGAGGGGCCTTTAGTAAGTTTTTTTTCTCTTTCAGATTCAAGTTACCTTCGGAGAGCTATTTGTATTAGATGAGCTTCATTCTGTTTTTGTGTTTCTTTTTGGTAGTCATCAGAAATTTAGGCATTTCTAACAATGCTTGTGCATATATAATACAAGAGATTGCACATGATAACAACATGCTCTATAAATGCACGAGCATTTTGCGAAAACGTGCTCAAAAGTGTAGGAGAATTCTACCATACCCGCTGTGCGAACTTGAATATATTTTCTTGTTGAGTTACTCCTTGGTGAATCTGTTGTATGCATTTGTAGTTGTGGGGGACTAGGGCGATTATGAAATGAAAATGTTTCACTCTACTTAATATAAAACTAATTGTATTAAATCTAACTAGACTTGATATTCAATCAATTTGCAGGAAACACTTCTCCGAATATGCTGCTCGATGTTGATTCTCATTAGAAGACGCCTACTTGCAGGCGATTTTACAGCAAATCTCAAACTGCTCCAACACTACCCCCCAGCGAACATCAGTCATTTGCTCTACGTCGCAAACAAGTTGCGTAAACAACCGTCAATCTGATCTCCTTTTCCACACGTAGTGCATCGATTTCCCGTTTGATTCTTCCTTTCTCTAAAACGTTCTAGTTTGGTTCTGTTAATGGATGTAAATGTTGGCTGAGAGAATGACTTATAGGGGCAGGATATAAAAAGATTGTTCTTTAGGTGCTGACTTGTAGTTTGTGTTTACAGGACAATTGTGTATCTTTTTCTGAGAGATTAGTGATTGATATCTAGAAACAAGTTCCGATCCTTGTGTAGTTGCACAATTTTGGCTCATTGTTTATTTCAATTTCCTTGGTTGAACTTCTCTTCGGGTTTTGTTTACTTTCTTTCTTTCTTTGGCATCCATGATTCTCTTTATTAGAGGTATTCTAGAAATGTTTGCAATCGAATAGGCTCAACTTTGTTGTCACCCCTAGGTGGAAAATTCAAGTATGAATTCATTGATATTTGTGACTCTGAAAGTTGAAAGATTTTTCACCATTATTGATCGAGATTTATGACATGATTAGTGAAATCGTCTCAAATCTTCTCGTCTTCAGAGAAATAATAAATAAATGAAAGTTTTATACAATTGACTTTTTCAAATTTTATTTATGATTATAAATGTTCTAAAATGTATATTACAAAATGATGAAAATTGTTGGGAAATCAATAATCCTGATTTTTGAAAAGATTTACATTATGATCTTTCATTTAGAGAACAATATTTTAAAATTATTTTCAAAATTATAATTGGAATTTTTTCATACAAAAAATAAACAGGATCCATTTCCCTTGTCATTCTTCAGTTCACCTTTGGGGGCTATTTATTATCAAACCATGACATTATAGAAACTAAATTAACAATTTAACAAAAATAATATAGAAGAAACAAATTAAATCAAAAAATTTAAAAAGAAAAGAGGATGTATGGATAAAAAAAAAGTAAAATAAAAAACTCACGAGATTTTTAAGAAAGCTAATGGCTTTTGAAAATCAATATATAAATTAATTTTACCCAACGCTAATAAAAAAAAATTAATTTCTTTAATAATCACTTCTATGGCCATCCAAAGCAAATGTTAATCAGGAATGAAGCAAAAGCCATATTTAAAAATTGAAAAAAAAGTTGTTATTTTTCAACCATAAAATAAGCTGAGGACCTGAATAAAACTTTCTATGACGTGGGACAATTTGATTCGCCAATCATCCCATAAATAAAGCATAATAATAATATTTCAAATTACAAGAAAAAAGTAAATATTTAAAATAAAACACTGCCAGAAAGAAAAAACTCAAAACCTGGAAAACGATGTCCTCTGACTGAGATTTTTGGTCTACCTGATAGAGCCACTAGAAATAGAGGAAACTTTGCAAATACCAGCAGATGTAGTAAATGGAATATCTTTAAAACATGCCACCAGGTCTGCGTTAGTAGCCAAATCTACCTGCAGTGTCTCCCATACCTTCTTCTTCGGGTTCAACACGCTGTCGGGCTCGCCTTCGAATCCTGAGAATTTAATTCTTTCTCCGACAATAGCGTCTTTCGGTGGCTCGACTAATTCGACCTGAACATTACATATTATATAAACCGTTGGAAATCATACAATGATTTGAATGGTTCTGCTTACTTGCACTAGTTCTAATCATATTTGCTAGCATACAGATAATAAGTTCAAAGATTTTACTTTACATTATGAAAATTTTGACGTTGTCTCCAATATCAGTAAGGAATCTTAATTAGAAAGGGAAAAGTACAAATAAAAAATTGCAAAGAATAAGTACCGAGGGCTATTATCGAAACAATTGTGAAAATTGCTAACCTTAGTGTGGTCACTATTGGAAGCAGCAAGGACCATGGCTTGCGATTTAATGCCCCTCATAGCTGCCGGCTTCAAGTTGCAAAGAACACAGACCTTCCGATTCTACAAAACAAACTCTATGATGTTGAGTTTGAGAACTAACATTTACAATCTAAGTGAAGAGATAAGGGGGGCTTTTAACAAAAACCTGCATCTCTTCAAGAGGAATGTACTTGACTAGTCCACTGACAACGGTTCGAGGTTGCGATTCTCCCACATCAATTTCTTCCACATATAGGGAATCAGCATCAGGATGCTTCTGAGCTTTAGTAATTAGGCCAACACGGATATCGAGTCTTGTAATCGTGATTTCTGGTTCCACAGCAGCTTTTGATTTGCTTCCTGTGGATTTTGCCTGTTGCTTCTTTCCACTGCCTTCTCATCAAGAAACAATGAGTAGAACCATTTAGAAAAGCGTTTGTGAGGAGAATATCATCTTAAAAATTTAAATATCTTGTGTTTATATAATGCATATTAAAATAAGTTTCAAATTCTATTTTGGTCTCTGAACATGACTACTTTTGTCCTTGCTATTATTATGTTGCCAAATATTTGCCCATTCCATATCCGTCTTAATCAACCCATGCAGCTCCACTACATGCCCACATTGACATATTAATAAACATATTTGAAGTCCAGTTATTCAAATATAAGACAAGCAGGATAACAACAAGGACTAAGGTTACTTATATGAGATTCAGAGACTAAAATAAATGTTTTGGAAGTATGGGATCAACATAGAATTAAACGTAAAATTATTTGGAAGCTAAAAGAACCAAGACGAGATTTAAACTTAAATTTGAAGTTTAAAAAGGGTTATTATATGTAAAACCCGCATAACATTAATGCTTTTTAGAACCCCAAAAATTTACCTTGTTCATAAAATCTACATCGGTTAGGATAAGAAAAAGAGTGAAATTTAACTAACCTGAAACGTTAGTGCTTTTTAGCTGAGCAGCAAGCTTTTCTGCTTCAGCTTCTGCTCTTACAATGCGTTGAGCCTGACTTCCAGCAAACTTGTCTCTGTATAGTTCTACTTCTTCATCTTTCTGGATAAATAACGTTAGTTATCACCATGGTAGTTTCACTTTCAGCATAATGAGAGTCCACAATCACAATTGTGTACCCCCCTAATTATATCAACAAAAGCAAATTATAAACACTATGCAGGAATGATGCACATACCAATTCTTTGAATAATGGCTCTGGTGTGCCAATCTTATGACCAGAAGGTAAGATCTTCCAAGGTTGTTTTGCCCTCTCGATATCTCCTTTTTCTTCACAAAGTGACATATGCCGTTCCACTGGTATATTCAGCTGCTTAAAGACCTTCAAAGAGATGGGTGAAGGTTAAAAAAACATAATTTTCTGCGAGTACATACACAAATTACAGAGATAAAGAAGAACAAAAACGAGATATTAATTTCCAAATACCTACATTTGACTATTTTACCTAATAAATGTATATCGTATGCTACATTTTCTTTAAGAAAAGATATAGTGAGATAAACATAGTTAAATGATAATTGCCTTCCAAATGATAAATAATCTAATTTGAGATTCTTTAACATAAAAATAAAAAATGACAATAGTTAACACATAAGATAGTTTAGAAAATGGTCTAGATCATACAGCCCATACGTTAACGCTCTACTGCTAATAGAAATGTGGAAAGTGAGTAGTCAGAATATCTACCTCCTGGGAGAAAGAAGGCATGAAAGGTTCTAATAAACACGCCAGAAGATAAACTAGTCCAGCTGAGGTTCTCATAACAAGATTGCAGGAAGGTTTGTCCTCCTTGTAAAGATTCCAGAACTGTGCTGTCTGAATGAAACCGCATGATAAACAGTCAGGGTGGCAAAGATTGCGAAGAAATATCAAAATTTATTAGAATATGAACATGAGAAGAAACAAGATCCAACCTAGTCAATTACTATGACTATGCTTACTTGCAAATATATATTTCCCTCAGTTGAAATAGCCATTGCAGATTTCAATCCTTGTTTTAGTTTAACCTGTAAATATTCGATGGAACAATTTTATTTCAATATTAACGGAATGGAAAAGAAGATGAAAATATTAAAACATCATAAAATATCCTGTTCCTACAACAAAAAAAAAAAAAAAAAAAAAAAAAAAAAAAAAAAAAAAAAAAAAAAAAAAAAAAAAAAAAAAAAAAA